GCCAATAACTGACCCTGCGGTGGGTTTTCAGAGGCAGTTTAATCGCACGGGAGGAGATTTCCCATCCTTTTCCAAAAAGCAGTTGGTAGACTCGACACATATGCCTTGGGGATTGCAGTGCACTTTCTCACCTCTAGACTTCCAGAGCTCCCACATATGAGTATAGATACACTGAGAGGAGGAGGGCATATGGATGAAACCATCCTTTTTTAAAATGTTAATACCCCTTTTTATTTTTAATATACTTTATTTTATTGTGGTTTAAATGAAAGTTTACAGAAAAGTTGGATTTTCATTCGTTCCCTCATTGTTGCATAATTCCCTCCCCTCTCTTCCCTTCCCCCTCCCCTAGTCCACTTTGCAGTCCACCTCTTATTCCAGATTGTTGTCATACATATAATGCCTATATCATGCCGTCTTTTAAAATGTGCAGACATGTCCTAAAGAGAGAACGTTGACCAGTTACGTTAACCCACTCATCTTCAGTCTGTGGTGTTCTGCCCCCAGCCTCAAGCTCACCAGTAGGGCAGAGCAAGTGCCGCGGGTGGGGTGATGGAGGCAGGTGTGGAGTGCCTGGCCTGGCCTGGAGGATGTGAAGGGGCCTTTGTGGTGACTCAGGGGCCCTGGAGGCGGCAGCATATCACAGACGGTGAATTGGGCCTCTTGCTCCCAGTCTTGCTCAGAAGCTTCCTGTGCAATTTACAAGTGTGGAGGCTGAAGCTCTGTCTCACACAGGTGCTCACACTCTGTGTCACCTACCTAGCACTCAGCCTTTATCTTTAGCTCTGGAACACCTACAGGCAACCCTCCTTGAGCTATAATGATGCTGACCGGACATGCCCAAGGTCATAGGCCCTTTGCCCTTGCAGGGACATCTTCTCCCAGGGATTCGGACCTTTCCGCTGGGTGTGCACATCAGGGGACCCTCACGACCTGGCTGTCACGGACCAGCTGGCCACGTCTGTGCTGGAGGAGATCATTGCTGGTGGAGGTAACACAGCTCAGGGAGTGCTAATGGGCAGGGTCTCCACTCATTCTGCCTTCATGAGGAGAGGATCATACCACCTACCTGGTTGTTGTTAGGTGCCATCGAGTATAACCCATAGTGACCCTGTGAACAGCAGGTCTGAGCCTTGTCCTAACCTGTGTCGTCCTCACAGTTCCCCACACACTAGAGCCCGCTGCGGCAGGCACTATGTCGATCCATCTGGTGGAGGGTCTTCCTTCCTTCACCAACCCTCTGCCTTTTCAAGCATCCACCCATCTGGTAGCTGTGGCAAATATTGCCCAGGACTTGAGATCCAGAGGGCCTTGGGCCACTCAGAGGGAAACATAAAGGAATTCTAAGAATGGGAGAGGTATGGAAAAGCTTGATTGCCAAATATTACTGTAAGCCTCTCGCCTGGAGCCTCTCTTTGGCAGCCATTCCCAGGGGTCCCAACTGCCTCTGACATCACAGCTGTGTGGTCCTGTGGGGCACACAGACCCGTGTTCCAGCCCAGCCCCTGTATACCCAGTTCTGTCCAGTCAAGACCCTCCACCTTTCTAAGCGTGTCTTTTCCATGTACTGTTCCCTCCTGACAACACACCCAAAGTATGTAAGAGGGCGTTTCACCATCCTTGCCTCTAAGGAGCACCCTGGTTGCAGTATTTATTTATTTTTTTTTTCCAGAACAGATTTGCTTGTTCTTTTGATAGTCCATAAGACAGCCGATAATACTCTTACCAGCCTGACGTTTATTTCATTAAATATTTCCTGATATATATGTTGAGCAAGCAGCTCACAAAATTCCTGAAGATTTAGCAGTCTGCTCTATGGAACGCAGTCTGCTCCAGGGCACTACAGCAGCCTCAGCCCATATCTGTCACTCGGCTCACTCCTGTCCAGTCCCTTTTCTTGCCTTTCCTGGGTTTCTGAGGCTGTAACTTGCACTGGAGAAAAGTGCTTGTCTTTCTCCCAAAATTCTGCTGGTGGATTTGAAGTGCCCTTAGGGTTGGCAGTGCAATGCTCTACAGACCACACCTCTCGAGCTCTGGTATCCCACCCAGTTTCTGCCTGTCCCTGGGACAGGCCAAGCTGTCCTCACCTGAGGGTCCTTACGTTTGATCCTTCTGGCCTAGAATTTTATTCCCTCAGGCATTCATATAGCTGACTCCTCATTAGCAGTTAGGATGCAGCCTAAGTGTTATCCACTCAGGGAGGCTCCTATGATTCCCTTCCCGGTCTCACCCCACTTTTATTGTTCTTACAGCACATAGTACTCTTTGCTCCCCAATACCTGCCCTGGTGTCTGCATACCACTGGAGCTGTACATAAATGTTCACCGAGGGAACAAATCAGGCCCAGGGCTGGGCAGGTCGGTGCTTTGTTTCCGGTGATCACTGGCCGTGCTTGTCCTCAGAGTCAGGAGGACAATGCAGAGTCCTAGATGGGGCTCTGAGCCACAGAGAGGCCGGTGCTCCCCGAGTCTCTGCTATCGTGCTGGAATAGACCATGGTCCAGGGGACTCACGTCCTGCAGTCAAGCACTCGAATGGCCTGATTGTCCTACTGCCACCTCAGTGCTCCACGACTTCAGGTCTCGCGATGTGGGCCATCCCTGTGCAGCCTCTGCCTGGGTGTCCTCCTGCTCCTTTAAGAGCCTGCAGCTCATACCTCTAGTGCTGCTGTCACCCCCCATAACTCCTCCCTAACACACACACACACACACACACACACACACACACACACCCCTACCTGCATAGCCTCTCAGGCTCTGCTAGTGCATACTACAACCAGCCTGGCCATCACTGAGGCACACAAATTCAGCCTCTTCTGAGGAGGTCTCTCAGGGACCCACCCTCAAGTACCCCTGTACCTCCTGTACAGATGAAGTGATGGAAGAACAATAGAGGTGGGCTGTTGGTGTGATGCTGAGGGTGGGGATTCCCTGACCCTTGTCCTTGACTCAGCCCATGTGAGGGAGGATCTGTGCCTCGGGGCAGGGAGAGGAAGTGGGGGCAGGCCTCTGGGAGCCCACACAGCCCTCCTCTTTCACGACCTGCAGTGAAGTCATCTGTGAAGTTGCAGTATAAGGACAACATCCGCTGGATCCGAGAGGCTGCCAAGCATCAACTGGTGAGAATTTGGGGACTTGACGAAGAGGGTGGTGGAGGAGGTGGTGGTGTTCTGGACAAAATTGAAGCTCCCTTGTCACTGCTGCCTGCATCTGACCCTCAGATAAACGGGCCAGCCACCCAAGCTGGTATATATGAACCCCAAGACCTAGAAGTGTCCAACATTGGACCCTGAGTCACTGCTCACAGTGGCCTACCCCCTGCAGTGGCCACCAGAAAGAGCTATAATAACATCTCACACGGCCCTTCAGAAGGTTTGGAGCTCTGGGGAAGGGCAGTCCAGCCAGGTCATGCAGTCACCATACAATGGCAGGTAGCTTCTGGTGCCTGAGCTCAGACTGCCCCACCAGATCCTCAGCTGTATGACACTGGGCAAGGGTCTAACCCTTTCTGAGCCCACATACTGTCCTCTAAGAGGAGATGGTGATGATACAGGCCTTGCACCATAGGCAGGGTTGACCAGAACTTCCCCCCCTCCTTCTTGTTGTGTACCAATGAGTCGGATCCAGTTGGCACAGGAGGAGATTGTCCCTCCTTCTCCAACAGAGTAAGAGTCTGGTGGATTCAAACCTGCACACTTTCGGGATTGCAGTGCAGCTTGTTGCCACTAGGCCACCAGAGCTCCCTTGACCAGAACTTTTAAGTCAACCTTCTGTGCCCCAGTAACTGTGCCTTCTGCACAGACAGATGTGTCCCTCCCTGGTTTCTGAGGGTTGAGAGATGATAAGGAAATCCAGTCAGGGAAACATTCATATGGGGAGAGCTGACTCTGAAAGCATTCATTTTTGAGTGAAGTTCTAGACGCTGAGAGGGAGGGAAGTAATCACGTGACCACCGAAGGCAGCAAAGGTCCAGAGGTGGGGACAGACTTGGTTCCTAGAGGAGTGAAAGAAGAAAGGAATATGTGAGCTCCACAGCTCTGTCCCCACACTCTGGTGACCAGTGGCCAGGCCAGGACTGCCTCTGTGCCCACACCCCCTCCACACAAACTTTTGCCTCATCCTCAAGCAGTGGTTTACATGTGAGTTTTAGCCACAGAACAGAATTAATTCCTTGTGCTAACCAAGGTTTCTCCAATTGTGTTGAGCTCAAGGTGTTCAAGTCCACAGGGTCAGAGGAAGGCTGAGGCTAGAAATAGAGACATATTTAGGGTCAGCACTGAGTGGGCCCTGGGAGTGGGTCACGAGGAGAGAGTAGCTTAGCCTTGAGGTAGGGCCACCAGCATGACCAAACAGGTGCCTCAGAGAGGGGAAGGGGTGAGGGCACGTGGTGTAGCTGCTTGACTCTGCAAGCAGACAGACAGACCTCTGTTACATCATTCATAGATTGTGGTTTTTCTGGTTGTATGATTGTGGGCTTTCTCCTGTGAAATGATGGTCATCCTGAAACCTTTTAAAAACTCCACTTTATAAAAAAAAAAAAATCCCACTTCTTTTAATATGTATGCTTGACAAAGTTAGCAGCCCTCTAGCAGTCTCCCCAATTTTTATTTTGGATAAAAAAAAAATTAAAAATTATCAGTAACATTGAGGTTTCCCCAAGAAGGTTTGAGGCCGCTGACATGGGTGAAATGAGGCTGCTCAACAGACATCCTGGGAAGAGAGGAATCAAGGAGACGAGCCATCTGGGCTGACAGTGCACGTGGCTGAGCTCAGCATTGCTCATGGTCAGGGACAAGGTCAATGCCATTGCTAGTCTCCTGCTACCTTTCTCCCCTCACCTGGGGGATGTGCATGTGGGAAGCTGGAATAGACACTCGACATCCTTTTTGGGAAAACCAGGGCTCCTTATCCTTGGCACTGCTGATGTCTGGAGCTGACCCATCCTTTGTCATGGGTTAGCGGCACCCCCAGCCTCCACTCATACAGCAGCACTCAAAAATGTCTTTGTTGTTGTTGTTGTTGTTATATTGAGTACAACTCATCGTGACCCTATGAACAGCAAATGTCTTTCATCATTACAGAATTTCCCAGGCTGAGGATACTGGGCAATTCTTGTCTCCCAAAGCCTTTGTTTTAATGAACACAGCAAATACCTGTTACTTCCCAGAGGCACTCTAGTGACTGAAAACATAGTATGAAGAACACACAGCACACCAGCCTGAGTCTGGCCAAGTAGCCAGCCCCTGAGTGACTGGGGAGATCTACCCAATCTCTCTTTAAAGAGAAACTTGTAAGGATAGTATTAGTACCTCCCTCCAGCATTCAACTAGCTGCCACCTATAGCAGCACCAGGTATTATTGTATTATCATAAGAAGGACGTTGCTGTTGTTGTGTGCCATTGAGTATGACTCATACTGACCCTGTGAACAACAGATGTGAACCTGCCCCATCCTGCGCCATCCTCATCATCTCTGACACACTCAAGCCTGCTGCTGCTGTCACTGTGTCAAACATTTTTACTGAGGGTTTCCTCTCTTTCTATGACCCTGCACCTTCCCAAGCGTAATGTCCCTTTGCAAGGAATAGCCTTTCTTAGCAACAGACCCAAAGAATGTGACATTAAGTTTCCCTCTCCTTGCCACTAATGAGTGCTCTGACCACATTTTCTCCAAGACATAATTATTTGTTCTCCTGTCAGTGCTAATTTTATGGAAGATCCCAGGTGAAGCCAGGGCCTTAGAAATACCTTCAGCGTGAACCTTCAGGTGACAGACTTTGTGGGATCTTGTAGGGTCTCCAAACTGCATGTTGAGTCTTGGAGAGCTAGTGAGGTGTTCCAGTTGGCAGGGGTTCTGGGCCCGTCTCAGGCCGGCAGATCTTAGCCTCTGTGGCCTTGTTCAGGGCCATCCGGATGTTGTTATGGTGTTGGGCCTGACCCAGGTGCTGTCCGCACCTCCCCGCACACCACATCCTGCCATGTCAGCCTCTCTTGGCAGGTGGTGGGCTCACAGGCGAGGATCCTGTACTCTGACCAGAAGGGCCGAGTGGCCATCGCTGTGGCCATCAACCGCGCCATCACACATGGGAAGATCAAGGTAAGATGTCCTGTGCTATCACGGGAGGCTTTCTTCTTCTGCTTGGTACACTCCATCCTGGCTCAGGATGTACATTCCCGCCAATCCTCCTACCTTGTGGTTCCTGCCAATGTCCCTGCGTGTCCGAGGCATAAATCTCAGAAGCAGCGAGTGAATAATCCCCTATCTGATGCCTAAACTGCTACCATTTTAGGGATATAAGTTTTATTTACAGCTTTGTTTCCTGTGGGTTAGCCCTCAGAGGGATTCAGAAATGACAAACTGCAGACTTGGGGAGGGAAGAGGATGAGGTGATCTATAAGGCAGTCAAGGGGCAGGAATTCCTTTGGGGGGCCCAGGCTCTGTGTGTGTCCCAGTGTGGGTTCGTGGCTGAGGATGAGACTAGTGTCCACTGGGTGAGGAAGCTTGAGCCCAGATCCAGGCCCTGACACTGTCATTTGGCCAGATCTCTGTCTTCCTCTTCTGTGACAGGAAAAACTGTTAGCCTCAAAGCATGGTGTGAAGACTAAAGGAGGCAGCTCTCTATCCACTGTTGTTATGTGCCATTGAGTTACCTGTGACTCACAGTGACCCTATATACAATAGCTCTGAACCTGGCCCTGTGCTGAGCCAGTCTCACTGACTGACGTACTTAATCTTATTGCCCTACTTACCATGTCAATCCATTGCACCCAAGATCCTCCTCTCCTGTGCTGTCCCTCCACCTTCCAAGCATGATGCCTTTCTCTAACGATTGATCCCCCCTGGCCATGTGCCCATAGTGTGAGACAGAGCTACAAAATCCTTGCCACCAAGGAGAAACTTGGTTTCACCCTCTCTAAGACAGACCTATTTGTCCTCCTGGCTATTCAGGGTATGTTCAAGACTCTTCTCCAGCACCACAACTCAAAGGCATCAATTCTTCTGTAAGCCTTAGTCATTGTCTAGCGCTCTGATGCATAGAAAGTAATTGCGAAGACCATGGCCTGGATCAGGTCACCTTAGTCTCTAGATTGATATCATTGCTCTTTAGCTCTTTGGAGAGGTCCCTAACAGCAGATTCCCTCAATGCAATTTGTCTTTTAATTTTCTGACTGTTGGTGCCAAGAATGTTGATTGTGGAGCTGAGCAAGCTAAAGTTAAGAGCCTCAGTCTCTTCTCCAATCATCATGGTGCTGCCACTTGGCTCAGTGGTGAGAATCTTCGTCTTCTTGCTGTTGAGCTTCAATCCATATTGAAGACAACAGTCCTTGACCTTCTTCAGCAAGTGCTTCAGGTCCTCCTCAGTTTTTATACTACTTTTAAAACAATCACAGCAAATGCCATTATTTTCCCTATTCTTCCTTTGTGTCTGCCCAACATTATCCAGAATGTGGAACACAGCTTGTCTCTTACATGAGCTCATACTTTGATATTTTTTTTTGTCTCTGCTTTGAAAAACTGGTAATGTTAAAGGTCAGAATGAAAAAAGAAACCAAGATACAAGCACGTGAAGCCCTTGGGAGCCTTGGCAACAGGAACTGTGGGCCAGTTCTTAGGGTACAGCCTCATCGCTGATGGGGGTCCTCTGATCATCCCCTCAGTGCTCTCACTTCCAGATTGGGGTTAGCTTGTCAGCAGGAAGTCACCATTTTAATTAATCACCTCCTCATTCAGTGACACCTGAACAAGTACTTCCTCCTTTGCCCCAGACTCTGTTCACAGAGTACACAGTTCACAGGAAACACAGTTGTGGCCTGGGATGAGGACACAGCTGTGCCATCTTGGTGCCTATGGTGCAATGAAGGGAAACAGATGTAAATGAATATACACGTGGCAAGATGCTTTCAGATGGCGAGGGCACCAAGTCAGGTGATGAAATATGGAGAGACGGGGAGTTGTGACTTTAGCAGAGGGCTTTTCTTAGTTGGTGATACAGGACTGAGTCCTGAATGGCAAAGATGTGCCAGAATTTTTGAGAGAGGGCATTTTAGGCAGAGGGTGTGCTAAGGTCAGGAATTGTGATGTGCCATTGAGTCAGAACTGATTCTCAGAACCCTCCAGTGGGTAAATCACACAGTAAATCACCCAGAAGGATCAACTGCTCCCAGGGAGCAGTTGGTAGATTCAAACCGTGTACCTTTGAGTTGGCAGCATAGCTCTTTACCACTAGGTCACCAAGTCAGTTGAAGGGTCTGTGGGGGCTCTGAATTCAAAACATTGGGGGCTTTAGATTTCAGCAGGCTGCATTCTCCTTGCCCTCTTGATGAGGACAAAAAGGCAGCCTGCAACCCTGTGTGACCACTTGTAGAGAGCTGGAGAAATGACCCCATGGCCCAGGCACAGGGAAGAAAGGAGCTGGGACTCTGGGTTCTGGGGACTTGACCCTGGCCGCCGCCTCCCTCGTGTTATATGAGGGTCCGTGAAGAGCTCACCCAGGGCATTCCATCTTTCTAAGTTAGCACCCCATTCCTGCACCTGTGATTTTAAATTGTTCCGGGTGGAACTTATTTTTATTATGGGAATCCTTGTGCCCGTTCATCTATAACTTCCTCTTAGAAAATGGAATTTAAGGAGCTGCATGTGCCAGTCCTTAGATCTTGCTCTCTGCCTGCTCACAATCTGTCCTACTACCTGACAAGACGTGGCAAAGCTGCCTGTCACCTCTCACAGGTCCTCAGTGTGCCTGAGATCCTCTGGAGAACAAGGAGCACTGTCAACACACATATTCTAAAATAAAACTGAATGTGAGTGCTGGGTAGCTTTAAATCCCAGCTCCTCCATCACTGGCTCTAAGACCTCAGGCAAGTTCCTATCCCTCCCACCCCCCCACCCCGCCTCAGTTTTCTCACATGTAGCGTGGAGAAGGTGGTTGAGCAGACATGTGTAAAGCACGTGGATGATACCAGATATTTAAAAAGCTCCAAAATCCATTGAATCTTTTGGGACACCAAGAAGGACTCAATTGAGGTTTGATGTGGAGGGTTCTAAGTTGGCAGGATTCTGGTAACTTTCAAATGAATAATTCTGGTCCAACCTAGGAGATGCCTGCTTTATCTGGTATTTCTTCATTTCTAAAAAAGAAGCCAAAGAAAGAAAAGGAAAGCCATCCTAAGTCCTGCGCATCAGCCACCAGGTTCCTGAGAAGCCATGCCCTGTTGGAAGCAACTGGTCCACGATTTCTAAAAGATAGGCCAGAGTCGTTCACTCTCCTGAGGATTAGAAGCCGTCTTCTTATTTTCAAACAGATAAGACCGCATATGAAAAAATAAAACTGCTGATGGACAAAGGCCAGTGTCCCTCTTGCCTACCTGACAACCATCAGGCAGCCCCCTTGCCTGGAAGCATATGTGAGCAGATCCTACGTGGATCCTTTCTTGCACTGATGGGGGCACTATGGCATCTTGCCAATGCCTGACCCATTCCCCCACGGGGTGGCTGCCCTTAGTGCTGCTGGCTGACATCTTTTCTCTCCCACGCTGCAGGCACCAGTGGTTCTGAGCCGAGACCACCACGATGTGAGTGGCACGGACAGCCCTTTCAGGGAGACCTCCAACATCTATGATGGCTCTGCCTTCTGTGCAGGTGAGACAGACAAAAACAAGTAAACTATGTTCTGATAGTGGGTTTGGATTTTGTTTAAAAATCAGTAGATTCATTAAGACATTCTTAATGTTGTTGAGAGTGTTCTGGGGCCCAAGACACTTTGTGTCAGGAGACTAACCCAGGACAAAGGTCTCTAGTGTTAAAACTGGGCCAGTTCCAGGTAAACTGGGCCAAGTGGTTACCTTACGTTGGGTGTGTATCTTTTTGAGTGTCAGCAAGGTACTTGAAGTTTCTCAGTCTTAATGTCCTCATTTGTAAAGAAGCCATAGAACCTACCTCAAAAGGTTGCTTTGGAGATTTAAAGGAGTTAATGCATATGCTGCATTCAGATAAATGTCCTGTAGTGTGTTACAGAGCAAAGGAAGACCCCATATGGGATGGATTGACACAGTTACTGGGGTAATGAGATAAGTGTGTCAGAGATATTGAGTCTGGCTGTGGATAGGGCAGGATTCAGAGCTGTTGTGCACCGGATCACTGTGAGTCACCGGCAACTTGATGGCACATAACAACAACACAACAACAACTGTCGTGGTTACTGTATTTATTACCACTGTATTTATTGTACATTTATTTATGTACATTTCTATGCTGGTCACTTCATGGTAAGGAGTTGTACTCCCAGCTCAAAAACTCAAGGTTCAAATCCACCAGCTTAGCTATGAGTCAGTTCTGACTCAAGGTTATGTAACAAGTATAAAAATATTAAATAAATACTTCCAGGTACATAAAACATCTTTAACACAATACAGTAATATTATGTTAAGTATATTTTAACATAACATTAAATTATATTATTCTGGTAGAAATTCATAAATCATATTGATCTTTTTAAAGGAACAGCTTTAGTTTCATTGATTTTCTTCTGTCTTTCTATTTTGAGGAGGAGCTTTAAAGAACAGCATTTATTGTCTTACCATTTGGTAGGTTAATAATTCACATCAGGGCACTGGTTCTAGGGCTAGGCCCTCCTTTCTCAGTAGCACTGGTATTTCTTTCTTTCTTGTAGATGTAGCTTCACGTCCTCCATGTAATGTCCTTCTATATGTGTCTGCGGTTGTTTCATCCAAGTTAATTCTAACTCATGTTGTTGATGTTGTTTGGTGCCACTGGATGCTACAAGCTACAACTCACAGTGACCCTCCCAGCTACAACTCATAGTGACCCTATAAACAGTGGATCTGAACCTGCTCTATCTTGTACCGTTCTCTCCATCTCTGATACACTTGAGCCGATTGTTACAGTCACCGTGTCAATCCATCTAGCTGAGAGTCTTCCTCTCCTATGTTGATCCTCCATCTTTCCAAGCATGATGTTATCTTCTCCAAAGCCTGGCTCTTCCTAAGAGCATGCCCAAAGTATGTGACATGAAGTTTCACCATTCGGTGAAGGTACCATAATTTCTTTAATCATTCATCCATTAGTGGACATTCAGTTTGTTTTCTTGTCCTTGGTATTATAAATAATTTGACAGTAAACATGTATCAGCTTGTATGCATATATCAGTTCACATTATAGTTCTTATTTCTAGCTCAAACAGCATTTCAATTTTCAACTTTAAGGAAGTATGAAACTACTTACCACATTGGTTGCACCATTTTGCATTCCCATTAGCAGTGTATGAGAGTTCCAGCCTCTCCATACTCTGACTAGCATTTGTTGTTAACTGCCTTACTGAAATTAGCTATTATTGACAGGGTCAGACTGATGGTTTGATTTGAATCTCTCTACTAGCTTGAGTTGTTATATATCCTTTGCTCATTTTTTTTTTGTTTAATGTAGATTGTTCGCCTTTTCTTGTTGAGGTGCTGGAGTTTCTAAGTCTTAGAGATAAGTCTCATCTTAGGTATATTGTTGTTGTTAAGTGCTGTTAAGTCGTCAATGACTCATTGAGACCCTGTGAACAAAAGTCCTGAACATCCATAACTTTCATTGTTCTCAAGTTCATAGAGTTTCCAGAGGCAAGCTATTTTGGAAGTGGATGTCACTCCTGCTTCCAAGCCTGTTTTAATTTGAGAGCTCCACCAAACACTGTCCGTCATGGGTAACCATTATTGGATTTGATATATCAGTGTTACAGTGTTTACCATCCCAGCAACCACAAGCTACCTCTGTACAGCAAATGGACAGACCAGTGCTATACTACTTAGAAGAATGTTTGACTGAAAACAATTAAAACCAGGCCCAAGGGCCACAGGCTCAGGGGCCCAAAAGCCTTTTTAAATACAAGGCCAAATCCAATCAGCTCACACCCAGTTGTGAGCAACATTCCACACCCAAGCCTCAGCCAAAACAGAAAACACACCTTTGTAGAATCCAGCTGCTCCACTCATCTTCCTGAACTGGAAAGCAGTCCCAAACTAGCAATCAAATGCCTTTTTGAATATGAAGCCAAATCCAATCAGCTCACACTCAATTGTGGGCAACATTCCACCTCAACCTCAGCCAAAACAGAAGACACACCTTTGTAGAATCCAGCTGCTTCACCCATTTTCCCAGACTGGAAAGCAGCAGGTATATTGTTGACAAATATATTTCCCCCAGTCTGTAGGTTCTCTTTATGTTGTTGTTGTTCTTATGTGCCATCGAGTCTCTTGCAACTCATATCGACCCTATGTACAACAGCCCTAAACTCTGCTCTGTCCTGTGCCAATCGCACTGTCTCTGACACTCCCATCCCAATTAAACCAGTCACTGAATCAATCCA